TCTTTCTTTCTTTCTTTCTTTCTTTCTTTCTTTCTTTCTTTCTTTCTCTCTTTCTCTCTTTCTCTCTTTCTCTCTTTCTCTCTTTCTCTCTTTCTTTCCCCTGCGGCCTTTTCTGATCCTGATCTTTGAGGTAGTGTTCTGCCCAAGCCAGGTTTTGAAACGAAAGACTTTTAAATCTCACTCTTGCTAGTGGTTGCTGCGAGGGCTCCTACCCCATTTTTACCCTATTCCTGGATTTCCTAGGAATCTTTCCAGGTTACATTGAGTATTATGACAATAAAGTTATATAGTTGGGTGTTAATTTTTTTTTAAACAATCACATCAAAACTTTTACAACCAAATGAGTGTTGTCCTTCAAAGTAGTCCCCTTAGGAGGTAAATGGCTTATTCCATCCACTCTGCCATTGTTCAAAACGTTTTTGGAACTCCTCTTTTGAAACTGCCTTCAGAGACAGTTTCTGGGCCACACAAGAAAATCGGTCACATTACTTTATTAGCCACACCTCATAAACTGTGGTTTTGGTTAATGTCATGACTTTCTCATAAAAATTGGCTCCTTGCTGGAAGGGCTTCTTTGTTAGTGGGACCAGGTTAAAAACTGTTGATGGCATCCTTCCTTTATAGGTACCTTTCCCCCCTACCTCTGTGTAGTAAACGTCTCTGTACTTTTTTTTATAGAGGCCGGTGGGTGAAGTGGAATTAGAACACTCCACCCTCAATAGAAACAAGGTTATAATATATATCATTGTCCCATTTCTCAGGGAACCAGGGTGACATGAATTTGACTTTCAACTTAAAGGATTTCAGATTAAAGGGAAGGAATGAGACCCTTCTTCAGATCTTTGAGGCTCCCTGCAGAAATGTTTTGCATGGATTCTAGGATCTTACACTTATCCTCCAAAGTGAGGACTAATGAGATCCTTAAGGTTTTTGGGAATAATCTTGTGTCACCATGGCCTGCATGAATGTGCTTAACTTATTCTGGGTGGGCTAATGGCCTCTTTTGTATTGAATACGATATATTTTTTCCTTTTTCTTTTTTTTTTTAAAGGATAGTACCATTTATGGATATTAGCTAGAGGCCAGGGATAGAATTTTATGGGACCAAATCTATTTATATTTGACTTAAAAAGTTGTAGAGGGCCTATAGAAAAATTGGGTTTTTAAAGCAAATTTAAGAAAAGTAGTATCTTTACAAACATGATTTTTTAGTTACTAGGATCAGGGTTAATTTTTTGTTTTCTTTTCCTGTGAAGTTGTTTACTGTTAGATGCCAGCCATGGGCTGATCTCTATGCAGAATGGGGGAGTGGAAAAGGGGAGGAAGATATTTTAAAAATTAATAATAGGACTGTATATTTGCATTTTTATTAGCAATTGGATGACATACTTTATTCAAGAGAATGCCCTTCGGAAATGAATGCTCATGCTTGTTTCTATTTAGCTTACAGATGCTATATCAATGGCAGGATGAAATTTTTCTTTACAAAATTTGTAAGTTGTGGTACTCTTGGTTTCTTTCCCCCTCCCTTTCACTGCCTTCTTTCTCTCCCACCTCATCTTCCCACTGTCATAGCCTGCCCTGTTGCTAGAAATGAGTCTTTGTGGGAGTTCACTAAATTGTCTTGGCTCTATGGAAATCGTAGTAACACAATGTGACTTTTGACCAAAATACTTAACCTTTAGGGAACAAGACAATGGAGAGTATTTTCTTGCAGTTTTTTTTTTCTGGTTTGACAACAGAATCAAATCATGTTACCTTCTTGGTTGATACCCTGAAGTACACTTCTCTATTTGAAGGTCAAGAAACCTTCAGTTGAAAATACTCTGTACATAGGAATTATAGGATTTTAGAACTGGAAAAGCTCTTCGTGATGATTCAGTTTGTAAAATGAGGATGATAATATTGTATTATGTGCCACTAGTTAAAGTGCTATATAAAGTAATTATCTAGTTCAGGAGTTCTTAACCTTGTTTATAGATAGCATGTATGTAGCACTTTAAAGTATTTTATAAAGCTCTTTACCAATATATTCTTATTTGATCCTCACAAAGCTGGGAATTAGGTGGTATTATTATCCCCATTTTGCAAATGAGGAAACTGAGGCAGACAGCTGTTAAGTGACTCAGGTCATACCTCAGGTAGGTGTCTGAGGTCAGATTTGAAATCATCTTTCTGATTCAGTGCTCTAGTCATTGACCCACTCCCCACCCCTAAAGCTGCCTTTATTTTGTATCATTCATCCCTTTGGCAGTTTGGGGAAACTGTGGACCCCTTTTCAGAATAATGCATAAAACAAAGAATGGAGGATAATGAAGAAAACCAATTGTCAAGGTGTTTTTTTTTAAAGCAAAGTAACAGATTAAGAACAACTGATCTTGTTCAAGACTTTCATTTTATAGATGAGGAAGCAGAGGCACAAAGAGGGAAAATGACTTTGCTAAGATCACAGAGGAGGGAAATGATTTATTTGACATCACAGAAGTGGTAGGAGAGCCAGAATTTGAAGCTCTTTGGATTCCAAGTACAGCATTATCTTTACTATATAATCTTACCTCTACTAGTTTGAGCATTGCATCCTAAGGCTGACAGTTATATTGTGGATTTTGCAAAACATTTTGGCAAAAGGGTATTTGAAAATAATAATGTAAGTTTGACCTCCACTAAAGTCCTCCTCTGGTGCCTTATTGTGGTATGGAAATGACCCTCCATTCTTGAATGCTATGCCAGCAGAAGAGTACCTCTGGCAAGTCATTCCAACCTGGAAAGACTTCAAGTACAAGCAAATGATGGACAGCATGCCTCTTGTCCTAGACCTAGCCTTACTAAGTTCAGACTCATCAGGGTGGAGAAGGATGATGAATTTTTTGGCTACAGCCACTTTCAAAGATCATTTATTTGGTCTACAGAGATCATTCTTAGTGGGAGTAAGTACCCACAGATGAAGGTATAGGTCCCTGAAAGAATGAAATTAAGTTTTAAGTGTATGAAAACCTGACAGAACTGCAGAAACATTGGTTTTATGATACTGATGTGATTAGAATGAACAGGTAGATGGGCAGGAAATTTAGATTTAGATGAAAAATTGGATTAATTTAGATTAGAAAGATTTAGAACGGGAAGGGACTTCAGATATCATCTTAGTTTAGCCCCCTTCATTTTCCTGATGAGGAAACAAAGAGGTGAAGTGACTTGTCCAGGGTCATACAGGTAGTATGTAGCACAGTTTGAATTCAGGCTGGAAATCCTGTATCCTTTTCATTTCCACTAATAGGTCAGTCCAACAGTTGACAAATAATAAAAGTTTGCTATGTGCTTGACATTGTGCTAAGCACTGAAGATACAAAGAATTGAAAAAACATAGTCCCTGCCAGGTTCCCCCTCTCCTGAGGAGGTTTTCTATCCCATTGGATGATGTAGACTTTTTAGAAAGAAGCTCTTACTTCTGGAAGGAATAGACCCATCTTCCTGTGGAAGAATAGAGTTGTTTTATTTTTATTTTTGAGTTTTACTTTTCTCCCATTTTTCTTGTTTGGTTCTAATGCTAATGATCTGTGAAATGGTCTAAAAGTTGACAGCAGCTTATGAATTGTAATGAAAGCTGATTTTTATGTAGATTTTAGAAGTACTTTATGTACATCATCTCATATAATCCTCACTAGAATCCTGGGGAACTGGGAATAGAAAGATTGTCCTCTCCATTTTGCAGGTAAGGTAATGTAAGAAAAGGAAAGGCAAAGAATCACCAGCCAATTGGATTTGCAGAGAACTTATCTGAACCATTCTATAAAGCTCTACTGGCATCTAACAATATTATCCAGACAACTGTCTATCTAATGAAAGCCCTGGAAATAGAATGGTAGAAAATGAGAGCCTTGTTGACAGTAGTAGCATCAAAGCCTTAAGTGTGATTCAAGTAGTTAATAAATCTACAAGAGTTTGATTTAAATAGTACTGAAGAGATGTTCTTCATTCCCCTATTATCCCACCCCCCACTTCTCCCACCTTTCCTCTCTGAAGTTTGATATTCTTTTTGAGACAAAGCTGCTTTTTCAACCTTGAGATAGGAATATAGTATTAATACCCCAAGAGGGGGTAACTCATTGTCCTAAGTTCATCCTGGGTTGTAATTGACTGATGCCATATCTTTTCCCCCATCCCCCTTCCAAAGCAGATTTTGATAGTGTGAATGGGAGAGACAATGGCTGATAGGAGAGGAAAGGGGAAAGAAAGGGGCAATTAGGTCATTGAGGGCAAACTTTGGCTCAATTTATCAAAAAAATTTTTTTTTTATTAAGCATCTGTTCTGTGGAAGACAGTGTACAAAAGTTGTTAACAACTACAGTCAATCAAAATAACCCCCCAGGTGGCAGACACTGTGGATACAAAGACAAAAAGGAAACAGAGTCTGTCCTCCAGGAGCTTATAATTGTAACTCATAAATAACA